TCAAGCACAACTAAGTAGGTCCTTAAGGGTTATTTAGGTCTTTGAACTTGATTCTGTCATCAAAATGAAAATTTAAAATGGCGGAAGTAATACGGCATATGGCGGATACTATAATATATGGGTAATTCTTGGCTATTTCGATTGACTTGTAACCCTTAGGTTACGGATTTTTTTTTAATTTGGCAAATTGTTGTACACATAAAACTGAGATTTTTCCCAAATTTTGGAAACGATACATTAATTATATCAAAAGTTATTAACAATTAAAGAAAAATGATAAAAAATTTTCAAACGGCTATATTTTAAAAACTAATAGAGATATCGAAGTCGGATTTTTTTCAAAATACTTATAATGATTTAAAATTTCGAAATAATTACAACAATAAACAATAAAAATTTTTTTTCGAAAGTTATTAACTTTTTGTTTAAACAATTGCTAATATCTCAAAAAGTATATTTTTTTTTTGAAAAATTCTTGCTCCTACGTATTCCTGAGGATTTTTGCTATCGAAATCAATCATAAAATTCAAGGGCCCGACATATCGGAAAGCGTAGCCCTAATCAAAAGAAGACGCCTCGGCGTAAGGCTGCGGTAGCGCTCCAGCGGACTCACGGTCGAAAGGTACTTTAGCTTTAATCTAAAAAACTAATAAAGATATCGAAGCTGATTTTTTTCAAATTACTTATAATACCTTGAACTTTCGAAATAATTACAACAATAAACAATAAAAATTTTTTTTCGAAAGTTATTAACTTTTTGTTTAAACAATTGCTAATATCTCAAAAAGTATATTTTTTTTTTGAAAAATTCTTGCTCCTACGTATTCCTGAGGATTTTTGCTATAGAAATCAATCATAAAATTCAAGGGCCCGACATATCGGAAAGCGTAGCCCTAATCAAAAGAAGATGCCTCAGCTTAAGACCACGAAGACGTCCCGCTGACTCCGAAGACGCTTTACAGCACGATACCTCTCGGCTATTTCTTGGGCCTTTATTTGGTCTTAATAGGTTTAGATGTATTAGATTACAATTAGATGTATTAGATGTTTATGTATATAAACTGCCGATAGTTTGAAGGTTAATAGGGCGATTTATGACTTATTTATGATTCATTTAACATATACTATTTCTAAAAATATTTTATTTTCATGAATAATTGAGTAATTAGATAATGCTTAAATAACTTTCAAATACACAGAAGAGTAACTGCTTGATCGAGTTTTTTCTAAGAAAACCAAATAAAGGCCCAAAAGACATTCAAGAGGTTATTTACTGTGAGGGGACCTCGGGTGCCGTTGCGCCCGGACACCGAGGCATCTTCTTTTGATTAGGGCTACGCTTTCCGATATGTCGGGCCCTTGAATTTTATGATTGATTTCTATAGCAAAAATCCTCAGGAATACGTAGGAGCAAGAATTTTTCGAAAAAAATATACTTTTTGGAATATTAGCAATTGTTTAAACAAAAAGTTAATAACTTTCGAAAAAAAATTTTTATTGTTTATTGTTGTAATTATTTCGAAATTTTAAATCATTATAAGTATTTTGAAAAAAATCCGACTTCGATATCTCTATTAGTTTTTAAAATATAGCCGTTTGAAAATTTTTTATCATTTTTCTTTAATTGTTAATAACTTTTGATATAATTAATGTATCGTCTCCAAAATTTGGGAAAAATCTCAGTTTTATGTGTACAACAATTGTCAGGCATATGTATGTTTGAATGTGTATACATCAGCCTTGTAGGTAGCGTTAATGAATGTGTGTCGCTCAGAATGCCGTCGGTGGTACGCAGCAACCTGGCACAGATAGTTGCCAGCTGCTGCCTCATCCTCAATTTCCTGATCACACCAGGTGTGTAAGCTTCCTCGGAGTGTTTGTGGCAGTGCCCGAGTAGGTAACGCATCCGTAGTTTCATTCGCGTGCATTTTTATTGCAATTTTCCGTTCGTCCTTTTTCTCAAGCCGGTAATATGTAGTCGGGAGTGTGAGTGTGCGTATGCTTAATTTTTCTTCGGCATGCGCTCTTTTTTTCTCGTCAGCCGTTGAATAGCTTTTTGACTTGTTGCATCATTTTTTCAAGTATGTTTCTGTTAGAAGTCGAGTTAGGCATAATTATTTGGTTGGTTACGGAGCGGTAAAAGACGGGGATGAATTCCCTGAGACGTTAAAAATAGTGCAATACTCTGAGGTTAAGTCTTGTATGCACAGAATTAGAAGTGTTAAAAGCAGAAGTGGTTAGCAGAGTTATACCGAGGAAAAGTGTTAAGTAAACGGAAAGGTAGAAGTAGTAGTGGCTCTAGGCTTGATGTTGCCCAACATTTCTTAATCGCAAGTGACGAAAATAGAGCTTGACCGGAGACAATGGTTTTTTGGTACATCATCGTGCTCTTCACCACGGTCCTTTAAGTCTCCGGTCTTCATATTATGATCATAACCTAAATGGGTCTATAAGTCTGGGGTTCTAGGCAATTCATCCGTCTCTTTGTAGTTGGAGACCTCTTCTTGTACATTATTATAAGGATATTGGTAAACATTGAAGCACGATTTCAGATTATATTCGGTAGCATTCTCGACATCACCTTCTTATTCGTTCTCGAGTTAAGAAGTGCCGTAGCGAACTACTACGACAAATGATTCGCATATCTCAAGCTAAGTTTGGCTGTCACATCTGGGACTTGAATAGATATTCCTCCTAGGTAATTCCTCGAGTTATCTAGGACTATTACCTTAATATTGTTTAGCTTATACCGATTCGCCATGAATCGATGGTAACTTCCTCAAGCCCCTCAGCTGCCACGCGTTCCTCTTTTCTACGTCTCAAATACGATGATTTGGAATAACCTTGTAGTTAAAAACGCGCCGCTCATTTTGATCGCCTTATGTATAATTCTATTGTGTGCAAATGTGAACTTGAGGATATGTGCATCTTACGTTGAGTGTTTTTCCTCTGTAAATGCGAAGACTATTGTTTTGACCATCGATTTACTTTCTCTGTTTGGGTTATTCTTTAGAGAGTAGGGAGCACTGGTCATGTAAAACGCTTCGTGAGTTTCCAGGTAGTTATCCATGCCTTTCCGGAATCAGATAGAAACATATCCTGCATACTAAAATGCAAGAATATGTCTTTGTTGAGTTGGTACTTTATAGTTTTAGCATTTTCTTCTCAGATAGAAATGCGCAAGATTAATATACACACTCGGTATACAAGTCCGTCGTGGGAAAGTTTGCGCCTCGGAAATAAATAATTATTTATAAATATAATTTATGCAGACGACCGCGGGTATAACCTTCCAATTTGCTGATTGTATCAGTCATAAATAATAAATAACACTTCGACATGGTATAGAACTTTTAAATTTATCGCTTTTGACCTTTGCTATATCACAATAAAAGCTAGCAATAATAGTATAAACTAGTTCTACAGGTATCAATAATATATATTAATGAATATATTAACGAATGAATACCATGTAGCGCAGAACAAAGCAAACAAAAATACGCCACTTTTGGTTGAATTTATGTGTCTAAGGTAAAAAAGTATTTCCTCAGTCCAACTCTAAAGACAGGAAGCAATAGCAGACACCAAAAAACGGAAGAGAGGGGCTTCTAGTACTAGAGACGTAGAAAAATTTAAACCTAGTCTCTTTTCTCATCAAGGAGACGCCGAGGTTCGGTAGTACTCTTTATCAAAGAATCCAAGGTTGCATACAGAGAAGCACTCTGCTAAATACACCAATTCTCTTATACGAATGGTTTTATATATCCGTAGGATAACTAACTAGCTTCTGCAAGAGTGAAACCAGCCCTGGTGCTTCCTATAGTAGATTCTATACAAATTATTACTTTGGAAATGACCTGTAGTCGACAACTGCAGATCTGTGTAATTGTTTTCATTTTACCAGTATTGAGGCTCAGACCAGAGCCCGTCACCAACTTTACCACCATCTGTACCACTTTGGACAGTCTAGCAGCGTTGTCTAGTAAATCATTCCTAGTGGTATGCAAATATATCTGTAGGTTAGAGAGAAGTATATAGAGAGAAAGAAATAGAAATTATGTTTTATGCTAGCTACGAACTAATCAAGGATCGGCGTACACTAGCACTAAACAAAAAAATTTCGCAACTTAATTAAGAACGCACGACTTACTTTCTAACTGACATTACTACTGCCAGGAATGTGCATGGAGAAATGCTAGTATTTGGCGTGTTGAAGCGCTGAAGCTATACTGTTGTCTCGCAAAAGACTTTCTCGGCACCAAAGGAGCACTGCCCTAAAGTCGTTTGGATTTTTCATCTCTGCAAAAATTCCGGATGAATATTTTCTTGCCGGGTGTGAGCACCAAAACTTTCGGATTTATCACACGTGGTAGAGCACTTTTCTCCAACTTAAAGCATTTTTGCGCCTTACTTATTTCATCACCAATATGAAGCACTCCACCTATTGGCCAATCAAATGCAGGAAAAAACGAAAATCGACTAAAAAAACAAATAGATCGAGACGATTTACTGGTCCTCCAGATTGGGCTATCTTCTAGCCGCGATTTGTATGCCGCTCTCTTCCTTCCACTTCAGCTCCATGCGTTAAATAACTACGAATTTCGGTCCCTCTCTTTTACTCGCCCACATTCTCATATTCCTTATCACGGTCACGCACTTACACATATGTGTTTATCTGAATGAATGTCAATTCATTACAAATGCTTAAATGTAATAATTTCATTCACGATGTATTGTAATCGTATTAATATTTTAATTATGTAATTAAATAAAATATGATATACATTTTAATAAGTGTCTTTTTTTTAAACCAACTATAATCAACTTTACTTAGAGTGAAAAATAAAAAAATTAACTATAAAAATTATATCAATAACGCTAAATATCTCTATAAATTCAATATTTCTGAAATTTCAATATTTTAAAATTTCATTTTGAAAAGGTCAATTTTAAAGTTATAAATTTGTAAAGTTACAAACTGATTAAATATATTTTTACAGGTTCCAACATTTGCTTATGAAAAACGACTATCCAGGATTGAAACATTAAGGCTAGCTATAACTTATATTGCATTCATGAGTGAGTTATTAGGTATTAAATTACAAAGCCCGAAACAGGATTATACATCGAAGGAATATTATTTGAAAAACAGTTAAAAGATATGAACAGTTTCATTACGCTTCCAGTGCAAAATTTATTGATAAATTCATTATTATTATCAAAACGCTATTTCAATAATATTATTTTTAATGCAGAAAAATCTCATACGTGTAAGTTAGGCAATTTATTGTATGGCATATTACTAAATCAATTATATACTTTTTCAAAAAGGTATAGCAGATACATTCGTGGATAATATTAACTTAACAATATTTTCATATTTCAGATTATATTGACGAAATTAAGCCGTTTTTGGACATAAGTAAATTTTCTTTGAATTATGAATAACATACTTTCATTACTGTGAATAATGTACAATTGAAAATATTTATTAAAAAAACCAGAATATTTTTTCGATCAGTTTCGTAGCATATTTTATATTCGATGATGATTTTCTATTTGACAGGATGAACGCACATTTAAGGTTCAGTGTTATGGTTCAGTAAAATAAAATTATTCATCTCAAATGTATTTGATAATGAAACAAATGAATATAATGAATTATACGAAAATACTAATATTATGTATGAATAAATCCTTAAAAACCAAATTAAAAGTTAATGGAACCGAGACTCGAAACGTACATATAAGTAATGGAACCTTGATTCTTATATGTTCACTTACATGCTATACATTATAAAGAGTGAAAGTCTTTGTTATACTTTCCTCTCTTTTTGTTACCTCTAAGCTTACATTATGTATTTATATAATATGCAGCTTTTCGTAATACTATTTGTTGATATATATAATAGATACCACTTTCGGATAGCAGAACAGTTTAAAAGGTAAGTGAAAGTGAAAGAGATGAATTCATTGCAAGGGGCGGACGTTCGCGGATCAGAGAGAGACAACACAGTATATATATTATCATTTGCTAGAGTAACAATGGTAATACAAATAGAAAGGTAGAAGAAAAGTAGCCTTTCTGATCATTAGACTCAGATTCGATTAGCTTATTGAGTAGCCAAGCCGTTTTTCTCGTTTTCTGCCGTTGAATATTTTAAGGTGATTGTGAAATCTTGACACAATTGACACGATTGAATGCTACGACAAAGCTGTGGAACTGCGAATAACTCGCGTTTGTCACTACTAAGGAACAGACTGATTGCAACGAGAAATTAGAATAAAGACTGATTGTTTATATCCTAGTTCGACAAGAGCGATAACGTCCACGATCATAAAATCTGATCATCTACGAAGCTCGCTTGATATAAGTACTCACTCGTTGACGTTTCCTCTCTCTACTTTCCTTTAAATTTTCTCTCTCGCTTGCTGCGGCAAAACGATATAAAATTTTCCCTTGTTACGCTCATTGAAGCTTCGACTTACTATAATTTTTGCTGCCTATTTTATTGCGATTCATGCCTGACTTAACCCCAATTCTCATTCTTATTCTGTATACGATAATGCGCCTTGGATTTCACGTATTTCAGCTGCTTATTAGATGCACGACGCTCTCTATGGACTCCATGAAAAGAATAGTGTCATATAGCCTATCTAAACTATCAAACCAGGTTTTGCATTAACCCAGGCGTGCTCGCAAAGTACTACGTTTCCAATGTCTTTTTTTTCTTTTTTTTAATATAGTATTTCTCTCGTGCGAGCGCATGCTTCCGAGTAAGAACCCTATTTTAACATATATACAAAGTGTCCGTACCTAGCAACTTAAGCATACGTGACATTAGTATATTTTCAAACATATAACGGACATAAAATAGCCGATGTATTATGATTATCTATCTTTGAAATTCTAGGAATTTGTCTTACTCTAACCAGCGGAGATGAACAAAAACAGAGGAAAAACAAAAACTTTGTTCAAGTCTGGACTTACACTTTTAACGTATGTACGAGGTGTGTTCAAAAAGTAAGGTCACGTTGTATTTTTAAGAAAAAATATTTATTTATTTATCAATATTTATGTTGTCTCCTTCAAAGTAATCCCCCTCAGATACAATATACTTATGCCAACGGTTTTTCCAATCCTCAAAGCACTTCTCATAAGCACTTTTCGGTATAGCCTTGAGCTCTTCCAGCGATGGAGTCTTTATCTATTCAATCGTTGCAAATCTCCGTCTTTTCATAGGTCTCTTTAGTTTTGGGAACAAGAAAAAGTCACATGGGGCCAAATCCGGTGAATATGGTGGCTGAGGCATGATTGTGGTGTTGTTTTTGGCCAAAAAATCTCTCACAAGCAAAGATGAGTGAGCAGGGGTATTATCGTGATGCAAAAGCCATGAATTGTTTTTCCACAATTCTGGGCGTTTTCTCCGTATTGCTTCTCACAAACGGCGCATAACTTCAAGATAATACTGTTTATTGACCGTACGTCCATATGGTAAGAACTCATGATGCACCACGCCATGGTAATCGAAGAAAACAGTGAGCAAAACTTTGACATTTGATCGAACTTGGCGTGCTTTTTTCGGTCTTGGCTCATCTGGGCTCTTCCATTGGGATGATTGGACTTTGGTTTCGATATCATAACCATATACCCATGATTCGTCACCAGTTATGACCCTTTTGAGTAAATCTGGGTCGTCGTTGACGTCATTCAACAGTTCTTGAGCGATGCTCATGCGACGGTTCTTTTGGTCAAAATTTAGCAATTTCGGAACAAACTTCGCTGACACACGTCTCATGCCCGAAACGTTAGAAAAAATTTCATGGCACGAGCCAAGCGATATACCAACATCCTCAGCAACTTCTCTGATAGTGATTCGACGATTTTCCAGAACAATTTTCTTCACTGCTTGAACATTTTCATCAGTTGTTGACGTGCTTGGGCGTCCAGACCGAGGCTCGTCATTGACATCTTCCCGGCCATCTTGGAAGAGTTTGTACCACTTGTAAACATTTTTTTTACTCAGAACAGTTTCACCGTATACCACCGTCAACATTTCAAGTGTTTCGGAGCACTTTATTTTATTTTTTACACAAAATTTGATGCAAATCCTTTGATCCATATTTTTCGATAGCAAGAAATCGCCGAACACGCAAAACACTTATAACCTTTACGCTTCTCACAACCAAACAAAAAATTCTATACACTTGAAACTTGGTACAGATGTTTGGGAAGAGTGTACCAACATAACAAAACAAAAAAATCGATAAGCGAAAGTACGTTGCCCGTGAAATTTGAAAAGTCACCTTACTTTTTGAACACACCTCGTATGAAAGTTCCTTAAATATATATTAAATTACAACATATTCAATATGATATTCTAAGGTAATCATAATACAATTATATAATTTACATATTGTTACTGGACCAAGAATACAGAAACCCAACCTCAACAAAAAACTTAAGAGCATCAATCTAATGATATATCTACTCGTACATGCATGCACGCATAAATAATATATGTATAAATAATATATAAATATTCGTTTGACTAATTAATAAATTTTGTGTCATTATTTCCCTTTCCTAAGATAGAAAACTAATTATTTAATCACTTTAACATGTAAATAAAACTCATTATTCATATAACATTTTTAAATTGCAAAGGGAGAGTCGGGTTTTTTTTCAATTAATTTCTGCTGGAGACTCATATTGTTTGTGCGAGAATTCAGAAGGCACAAAGAGTTCAGCTACTGAGAAACCTGCCGAGCGTGCAGGTTGCGACGCTCACGGGCGAGAGAGTTTGGGATGGGAAGCAAGAGGAAGTCAAAATCCAAGCCTATAATTATAAATTCTAAAACCGATAATTTATTTAATTACAAACAAAAATAAAAGAAAATTACAATTTTAATTAAAAAAAAGAAAAAGAAACGAAGAATAATAATAATAAAAAAACAGCATCTTTCGCGGGCATATCCCATCCGGACAAACGCTTGGGGTGAAGTGGTGTTCTCGGAGACGTATTCAACTCCTATAAATCGGCATTTCTACATGACATAAAGCAATGAGTCTCACCGGCAGACTCGGACAATCAAAGGTCGCTCAGCGATTGTAATTCTCTTTATCGCAGAGCACAAGGTCTTCTTGAGTCCGCGACACCGTGATGATCATGCGTGCGCCTGCGAGGAAATAAAGAGAGTGAAGAGAAAGATAGCTCGCGCTATGTTGGTTGTCTTCAACTGCCACACTTTTTCCTCCGGTGGACTCGGGCTTCCATGGTGATAAAGCTAACGCCGACGAATGTACTGCCGAGGTTAGAAATGATCCGGCTTTCAACAGCCAACAAAAGCCACAACGCAAAGTCCTGCAGCAATTCATAGCATTGAATAATGTTCGTCCTCCTTGCTGCTACCATCGGCGTCTTTTTTTTCTTTTTATTATGCCAAGTCTATTCACAATCTGTCTAACGTATAGAGATACTAAGCAAATTTTGTTGCTATTAGATATAAATATATATCTATATACTATAGACATATATCTATATGTCTATAGTATACAACAGTATACTCCATTAAGTATACTCTCTTTGTTTTACAGTATGTTTTAAATAATTATGTTAATTTATTTGCGCATTCAACAATTTATGTTTTTTAGTCTATTGTTGGCAATGAATGTCTTGAGAAGTTTGTTGACAAGGTTTGAGTCCGGAATTATATTTTGCGTAGAATTTTTTAATTTCTCCTTTGACTATAGGTATCTGTAAATTATTTCGGATGATTTCATTCGGTACAAACCATAGGGTCCGTACTAAATTGTGTAGGACTTTCGATTGAAATCTTGCCAGGTTTTCGATATTCGAGTTAGAAGCAGCATTCCATAGTTGAATGCCATATATCCAGACTGGTTTAAGTAAAGCTTTATATTACAGCAATTTGTTTTCAATTGACAGCTCCGATTTTGTTCCGATGAGCCAGTACATTTTGCTCCATTTTAGATCTAACTGTTTACGTTTGATGAATATATGTTCTTTCCGTGTAAATCTTCGGTCTAGGTGAATACCTAGATATTTTACATGATTACTTTGCGGAATATAATCTCGTTTAATCCGAGAGGAGGACAGGTATCTTTTAGAAGTGTCGTATGTATCGATTTGCTTTCATTTATTATTATTCTCCAAGAGTTAAACCAATTTTAAAGGTGATTTTTTATATAGCTTTGTAATGTTTTGGTTGCTATTGTTGCCTCTGGATATACTGTTAAAATTGCTGTATCATCTGTATATTTTTCTGTCAAGATATTAATAGATTTTGGTTGGTCTGAGGTATATAACAGATATAGTATTGGACCTATAACACTAATATAACTAATATAACATTAATATAATCTGACGTTTTGTTACGTTTTTATTTATTTTAACTTCATAAGCTCTATTGTATAAATAAGACTGTAACAATTCGTAGAAAGGCTCAGGTAAAAATCTTTTCAGCTTGTGCAGTAGCCCTTTATGCCAAAC